CCCATTTCTGCTTTTCCAACTACTTACAGTTCATTTTAAAAACACTGGTGGCTACCAGTACTGCTGCAGAGTGGGTTAAGCCTCTGCTTTTAAGCAGACATCCCACTAAGTGCCAGTTTATGTCCTGGCTACTCCACTTCTGCTCCACCTCCCTGCTAACACGCCGGCAAAAGCACTGAGTTTTTAGGCCCGAGCCACCCACACACAAGAGCGAGCTGCAGCTGCAGGTTCAGGGCTTTGGTTCGGCCCAGCCCCAGTCACTGCAGCATTAGGAAGTGAACCAGCACACAGATGTGCACTGGCGTGCACACGTACTTGCTCACGCACTCTCACTTCCTAACTCTGCCTTTCAAAAACACATTGCTAATAAAAGTGATTTGGGAAAAATTATTAAAAGTGGTATAACAAATAGCAGGTATATTTTGTCTTTAAGAAAAGGATAGTCGGGCCCGGCGTGGTCGCACAGTGGTTAAGATCCTCGCCTTGTACGCCCAGGATACCATATGGGTGCACTTGGGGAGTGAATCATCGGGCGGAAGATCTTCCTCTCTGTATATCCGCCTTTCCAATAATAATAATAATAATAATAATAATAAAATAAATCTTAAAAAATATATAAAAAGAAGAGTATAGTCTACTGATAAAACCAAGGCACTCTTTTACAAATTGTGGGATAAAACAACAAATCAGTCGATAATTTAACACATGATAAACTGGTTCCTACTGATGTTGCTGAACTACCTGTGACTTATCACTAAAAGCAAGAGCAGGGGCTGGTATTGTGGCACAGTGTATTAAGCTGCTATTTGCGATGATGACATCCCATACTGGAGTACCAGGTCTGCCCTTGGCTGTTCTACTTCCAAACCAGTCCCCTGCTCATGTGCTGGGAAGGCTATGGAAGACAGCCCAAGTGCTTGGGCTCCTGCACTCACATGAGACATGAGGGTGGAGGTCGTGGCTCCTGCCTGGGCTGACGCACACCTGACAGCTGTGGCCCCATGAGGAGTGAGGCAGCAGATGCAAGATCAATCTCCCTGTCACTGTCTTTCAGACACATGGATACATACATACATGCACACATGCTTTCCAACAAACACAAGTAAGGGCCTGGTCTGATAGCCTAGCAGCTAAATCCTCGCCTTGCACGTGCCGAGATCCCATATGGGAGCAGGTTCATGTCCCAGCTGCTCCACTTTCCATCCAGCTCCCTGCTTGTGGCCTGGGAAAGCAGTTGAGGATGGCCCAAAGCCTGTGATCCTGTACCCATATGAGAGACTCAGAGGAAGCTCCTGGCTTCAGGCTTTGAATCAATCAGCTCAGCTCCAGCCATTGTGGCCGTCTGGGGAGTGAACCAGTGGATGGAAGATGTTTTTCTCTGTTTCTCCTTCTCTCTGTAAATCTGACTTTCCAATAAAAATAAACAAATATTAAAACATACAAATAACCCATACCTATCATGTGTAAATGAGTCTTTCCCTGTGAACTTACAAGAGCACCGCCCCACCCCACCCCTGCCCCGCCCGAGGTGTGCACATCCAGGATCTCCAGGATCGGCAGCGTCCAGACCCGCGGGAGGCTGAGCAGGCATCAGCAGCACACAGCAAAGCTGCATCCCATCCTACCCCATCCACCTGCCTTCTGGGAGCACGGCTAAGTCCTGCTTCCTAACTGGCTGCACTTAGGCCTCGGCTGAGCTCCAGCAGATGGGACAGTATGTGGAAATGACAATGCTGCTGCCAGGCCCAGCACCTAAAACCTTGAACCCTTCATGCGCCCCGCTCTTGCTTCGCTGCGCTGACCCTGGAGGCCACAGGTTAAAGGACAGCCTCAACCTCAGCCAGGAGGCCAGCTTCCAGACAGGCTGAGCGGAGCGAACCACTGTCTGCAGCAAGGTACTCTCTCCTGCTGTCCCTGCCACAGGCACTTACAACAAGTGAACAACACATTTTTACAACAATAAGCCACTCAGAGCTCAGCTTATTGGAGCTCATAACTTATAAAAAACAAGCAAATCTTTAAAAAAATATCACTTAGATTTGCAACAATATGTAGATGCACTCAGACAAAACTGCAGTTTGTGTGATGGGTGTGTTTCTAGTTTTTCAGGAAGATCTCGACAGCCCTGAGCCAGAAGCAGGACAGGAAGAGAAAGGAAGTAGCATTCCAAGAACTAGTCTGCAATTCTGTGCTCATTTATTCATAATGTCTAACACCGAGTGCCTACACCAAGCCACGTGTTGAAGATGAGGGATGAAAAGATGAATGAGCTACATGTCCCGCCTTCCACATTTCCGCAGTGCATGTGACTAAGCCATTACGGAACAAGGACTGGCCGTGGAAGCAAGACGTCTGTGTGAGCCAAGGCTGCACACAGGGGACCACCTGAAGGGCAGAGGGCTTCGGGAAGGCAGCACCGACAACAGCCAAGAGCCCTGAGCTGCGAGTCCGGGAGGAGTGTTTCCAACGGCCTTGTGCCTCGCTCAAGTCTACCACCACAAAGCTGGAGCAACCTCACCCAGCAGGGTTATGGAGAACGCCGACCTGTTCACAGAACAGGAGCAAAACACACTTCGTTTACTGGTCTTGGTTTCGTCTTTTTTTTTTTAATCTCCAAAACCATTTCTTCAGGTGGACTTCACTTCACTTACTTTGAAAAAAGTATTCTGTAGTGTATTTAAAATGACGTGGTCTACTGAAAACCTCTTGGTTTCAATCATACCCATTAACCCTCTGTCTCAGCAGGTAACGACACAGTTCCTGTGCGCCTGCTGTCAAGGGTGAGCTGCAGCCTCACCAAAAAGAAAATCTAGCTCCACAGCTACAAAATGCACCCCTACCTTGTTCTGCATTTCCACAAATGCTGGCCACAGGGTCCGGCAGAGCCTGGCCATGGACCCAGCACCACTGGAAGCATAACTCCCAAACACGCTCCGGTGATGTGAGTCCACAGCTTCCAAAGTGCACTCGGTGTGGGTGCTAACTTGAAAAATGTGAAATGTCCCCACGCAACCGAGGAACGACACTTGGAAAGTAAATGAGAAGACATCATTCTGTAGAAGACAATGCCTAGACAACACCCTCCCGAACTGCACTTAAGAGAAAGCTGCTTGTCAAAGCTGCCACCTGTACTCTGTCCACAACCAGTCCTTCTTCGTACTAGAAATTAGAGCTATGTCTTCACTGAAAATGTTTTACTTTCCACAAAGATGGCTTAACACAAAAGTGGTAACATTCCAGAAATCTACAAATGCTCTGTGCTCACTTCTGGCATCTCACAGAGAGACAAATCGTGAAATTAAAAAACCTACTCTTTACATCATTACAATTATGTTTATATACATACCATGAAACAGCTCTAATTTTGATAGAAAACAGAATTAATCCTGAATGAGGCCAACAACCCTGTGTCTGTGGAAATGCCACGCTCACCTGGGTAACCCACGACAATCCACGTCCCAGGCCATTACGGACTGAAGATGCTCACTTCACACACACTGCCCAAACTCGGGAACATTCTCCAGCCACCTCCCGTTTGGTCTCTGAAATGTCCTAAATTACCCCCACCTCTAAGTCATCTCAGACAACTGTTTTCAACAATCTACCACCAAAAAAGAAAATACATTTATACTTACCACTCTAATTTAAGATTTAATGCGTTATGTGACGTGCACTATATAAAACACTGAAATGTTACAGAAGAGCATGTCAAAACTATGATCTTTTCAATAAAATATTGATACAAATGTGGAAAATGCATCTCTTTATCTTCTATAAACAAAACGGAATACTTTCTAAAACCAAAGCAAATACCCATTTATTGAAAAAAAAAAGCATACTTGCTTTGAAAACTTTAAATGTGTGTTTTCTAACACATTACAATAGATGTACAAGAGAGGTGGTAGCACATGGCTTAAAGAGACTGTTAATTGTACATTTTGTGTATAATGCAACAAAACAGAGCACTGGTTCTGAATGAAATATAATATGACAACACATGGAATAAATAGCAGCTAACACGTGCTGGTTTCCTGCTTGGGGCTTGGCTTCCTATTACGGATTTTACCTATCATTTCTCCTCACCAAATCCCACAAGCAGGTATTATTTTCCTTGTCTCAAAGATGCAAACGGTAAGGCTTCCAGAAGTCATGGTACCAGTAAGCCAACTCCCACTGAAGTTGGTATGATACATTACTACCTGAGACAAAACTTAAACGTTATATGGCAAATCTCCTATCATGATCCTCCACCCACACTGAAGGCTTCAAAAAGCCCTCTTACTCTTTGCTTGAGTTGTCCCTAATTAGCTATTCCATTGTTCATTTTAATAAAAATTGTAATTACATTTAAGTGCACACGGGTCCAAACTCTACTGAGTAATAGGAAGAGTATCAGAAGACACATAACTGACATCAAACCTTTATCATGCCAGTGATTCTTCCTATGAGTGTAGATCATCACACAGACCTCTTGGATGCATTTACAGCTTCCACAAAGGCACTGAACTTTAATATTCACAATGCAAATTTCCTTTTAAAAGGCCATTTAATGACAGTTAACATCTATTATGAAAACCATTAATACTTAAGCCAATATTTCTTAAGAACAGTCCGCAGGCTGCTACTGACCCACTAATTCTCTCCAGAGGGGCCATGAGTTAATCCCTAGAAATATCAAGAAACACAAAATCCAAAGCTCTGGCTTGAATTAACACCCACTGCTGATTTACTCTCACCATGTCTCATCCAAAGTCACGCCATTTTCTTCACAAATTTCATTGGATTTCTGGCTCATATAAATGGAAGTAGGCTAAAGAATAAGAATCTTTCAGCTTGCTAAGACCAAAGCAATGGTTTCTGCCTCTGCAATTAATTTTTAAAAATAAGTCATAGTTTTCAAGTAAAATAAGAATCTAAAATATTCGTGTATTTAAAAGTGTTTGATATTTTCCAGTAGAAGACAACGCCAGACAGCCCAACTTCCTCCATATTAAGCTTACCTTGAAGATGGCATTATGTTCGAAGCCCTGAATTTTGTTGTAAACGGATTAGTTGACTCATAATCAAAGTAGTCCTGCCGACTTTCACTAAATACACCGGGTGATTTCAAGTCAACCGGGCTGTCCGATCCTCCGTTGTTAAGCTTATCAGATCTTCTGCTATCTTTTTTTCCAGTCACTCTTTCAAACAGGCTAACTTTCTCTCTTTTCTCTCTTTTATTTTCTTTCCTCACTTCAATTGATTTTGAAAATAAATTCATGCTGCTGTCCCATGATTCACTGCTTTCTTCAAATGGATTTTTCTTCCTTGGCAGTGTTGCAAATTTTTGGGGTAATGAGGCAGTCACATTTGTAAATGGGTCATTCTGTCTTTCGAAAGACGCTTCACCTTCATCCACGACACTGTCGGGCTGGTTCATTTTAGAAGTATCAAAGCTCAACGTTCTTCTGTGCGGAGACTTGAGACTTCCTACAAACGATTTCATGGTTATTACATAGCCAAACAGTACAGCACGTTTTTTGACACATTCTGTGTGTATTCTGATGGTATTAGAAAAAGAGTAATTAGCTATTTAAAGGCATTAACCTTTAAAACAATCAATGGAAATACCTTGAAATGCTAAGGCATAGTGGCATGAAGTATCCGAGGCAATAACAATTAGTGTCCTGCAGTGCAACGGTCAACGCACTGGGCTCACACATTGAACCAAGTCAGAACTGGAGGTTCTGGTGGCATGACAATGCCAGAGTGTCTCAGACTTTCTTTCATCATTACCATTAAATTTACTTCCTTGCTTCTGAACATGAAAGCTTTCTGCCTGAGATTTCAGACTAAAATGCAACAGTTACTTATTGCACCAGGCTGGCGATTTTGCACTAAAATGCAACAGTTACTGCACTAGGCTTTCAAGACAGAAGAAACAGTAGTAAAAAAGTCTAAAAATCCAGGCCAAGAGATGGGACTCATTATCAAATAATCATAAATACATGTGTACTTAATAAAATCTCACTACAATGAAGCTGATCAATTTGGGGTAGAGCAGGTATTCAACGTTTGATGAATGGCTATACTTAGCGAATACTGCCAGGAAACTGCAACTTTTGTCTTCGACTTCAGAAGTTAACCTTACACTGAGGATACAATGAGAGTGTGCACTCACCACTTTCTGGAAGCACGCCAAAGGCCTCCACGCGGCGTCCCAGGAGGTGCGTGGGGCCCACCACACCCGCCTTCAGCTTCTCAGAGGACAGGTGGGACCCAGTTAAGTCGGACATAGAGTGTGCTGATGAGAGACGCTGAGGCCCCAAAAGGAAAGGCTTCTTGGGTTTAGATTTCATATGGGTCTCACCACTTGAAAATTCAGTACTGGCATCAGGCAGGTGAGTACTTGGAATGATTGCAGAAGATGTATCAGAAAATGTGCCGTCGTTTTTTCTACCTTTCATCTTATCTTTTAATTTTGCAAAAGGAGATCTTGTTTTGTCCTTCATTGACAAGTCAAACATACTTGCCGTCATATTGTTCCTCATGAATTGAATATTAACCTTTATCTCACCCCTGTTTTTGGCTCTTTTTCCTTGTTTGGATTCCAACCTAAACCACCTTAAAGACATAAATAAATAAATAAATAAATAGGCAGGTAGACAGACTGCTGTAACACTGAACAAACAGAGGCTAGAGAACTTGGCCAAATACAAACTGCTTTTTGTAGGCAAACTAACTAACTATGTGTCAAGCCAACCAGAGCAGTGAAGGATACTCCAAGTATCCATAGAATATTACTGCTTTTATTCATTCACTTTTAAAAACACATCATACTGTCTATGATGGGACACAAAAAGGTACCTTTAAACTTTGTGGAAAACGGAATTAAATTTGTTCTAGTGCAAAATAGAACTAAAATTCACAGTTTTTAATAGTATTTGTTTCCCATACTTTTCAAAGATTCTTCTAATGCACAGATTGCAAAATTCTTCTCACCAAAATAAACCAATCTCTTAACTTCATTCTCATCAGACAGCGCTGGTGTTTGGTGCATCTGGAAAGTTTTTCAGGTAACCTTTTCCATCACGCTCCGAACAGAAATGCTTATCAAGACTGTCTATGGCTTCTAGGTGAGTAGCACTACAGGCCTAGAGACATTCTGAACATGAAAAGTCCCGGAAAAAGACACTGAAGGAATGCACCAATACAAGGGATTTCTGAGCACCACAAAACAAACAATAACATAATACATAGCCTCATCAAAGGCACCAGTTATGGCACAGCATCTAAAGAGGTCTGTGAACCTTGGAGATTACTACATGTAGTTTGGTCCTTATCAAAACTCGATATGGTCAAATATAGACTCCAATGAAATGGATCAAATCCTCTTCCTGAACAAACAAAATCAGTAAAATGTCAAGACACGACAGTAAGTCTTACAAAGTTTTTGAAGAACCAAAAGCTGAGCTACTTCCTATCAGAATCTATTTGCATCATTTATTACTACTACTGTGACAATATCAAATAAGAATTATTTTATAAATGGAACCAAATATTTGTCTTTTGGTCATTTACATTGCCCATTTTAAAATCAAGTATGAGAAGTTAAGCTTTTCCTGCGTTTATTTATATTATTTTTATCCAAATTTAAAGTCTCCAGCTGCTGGTGTCATAAATGGTCAGTCCAGAAACTGCAAAACCAAGTCTGGAAGAGAATTTCTTCCGTGTTTTCTTATTACTTAGCAATGCAGCATAACATCTATTTCCGCAGGAAGGTCATGGTTTAAATATGGCCCTGAGTGCAACAAATATTCTTAGCTACAAAGGAACTCTGATCCCATTCTACATCAATTTTTTCTCATTGTTACTAACTGGACACACCAGGGACAGGTCATGCTCACTGTACATTCCAAGGTAGACTATGCCAGCCAACGGACGCTGGAAGCACTTCCATCACTGGACCCACACAAGATCGACCGCATTTCAGAATTATCGAAACCACTTAAGCAGAACCCTCGCAGCCTGCTCCTCTTTGAGGACCCTGGGATGACATCAGTGACCATTCTCCATCCCCAGGGACTGAAGCAGTTGGGAAGCTGAGTGTAGTGTCTCCCTTAATCTCCCTCTTTCCCCCAGATGAACAAAATGTGGAAATAATAGTCTCACCCAGTTTCCCCTAACCCTCAATCCTTCCCACCCTGGTCATCTTTGTAAAGATCACAAAAAAAAGAAAGAAAAAGAAAAAAAGAGAGGCGGGGAATCATGTCACAGGTCTTCCCAGAAAGGAAAGAGAACTGATACATATATGATATATGATAATATATATATGTGTATATATATATATAAAATCATATATATGCATGGTTGCATATTTGTATGTCTCTGTGTGTAATACACCTGTCATATCTTAGCAGATCACACACAAGAAATCCTTTGATTAACTAAATTGGTGCAATTTAATCAATGAAGGTATGCAGTTCATCAAGTGATTGCTTATTTTATAAGAAAACATTAACTAAGTTGAGACCCCCAACATGAGAAAACACTTCATGTAAAGCAAGCATTAAAATCTGAAGAAATGCGCTAGACATAAGAAATGTAATCAGTAAATTCTGTAGAACAGAGGAATTGAACAATACACAAGAGGGCACTTTAACAGCCTGGAAATGTACCTGCTGCAACTCCATTTCAGAAAACAGTCATTCTCAATGGGGAGGGCGACGGTGCAGCAGGGAGACTTCTGAAAGATGCTATCTCAGAATTATTCTGTCAACATCTCAGGCTACACCAAAAATAGCTGAATATATACACGTTGCAAGAAATTACCAAGAAAAAACACACACAAGCATTTACCAATTCTATGGATGTAACAGACCAAGACTGAGAAGAAAATAGTAATCCACAAACGGATGTCAATGCATGAAGGTAGTCAAAATTCATACAATTCTGGAGAAATAAAAACCAAGTAAATCATCTATTTAACATCCTTATTTCATGGGTGAGGAAATTGAGGCACAGGGAATGCTACGTAACTTCCCAATGTCAGATTAAAGTCACTACAGGGGGGAAAAAAAAAACCCTGAAGTTGATGAAGAACAGCTGTAGGAAAATGGAAGCCCTTTCTTATTTGATGAATCGCATATGTTAATAAGGTTAACCACATGGCTGGCACGTAGCATAGGACACGGCATTTAATCAGGCGACACAATAGCCAAGAAGGAGGCAGCGGGGCTTCCCGGAGCTAAAGTGTAAGCTCCCTGAAGGCACTGTGCCTGATGCTCAATGTTTATTCAGTCTTTATTTCTACAACCATATAACAATCAAACCACCCTTGAATGTGTTTCCTCCTGTTTTGTTTTTCAGTAGGAAAGTCTACAGGCCCAGGTAACTGAGAACACAGCAAGTCAGTGTCTGAATATGGCATTGTTTAACTCCGCCTGTGAAAAACCGTCATAAATACACTAATTCCTAATGTAGGCACAGCAACCGCCTTGAGCTTTGTTGTGAAACCAACATAACAGAGAGGCCTGAACGAGACCTTCCAGCATCATTCCAGAGGCGGCATTTGTTTTTCCAGGCTTCAAAAAGATAAAATGAAGACCTATAGCTTTGGGGGCTTACTGGATTAAAACTGACTTTTTTTTCACCTCTGGTGTGCTGGATTTAAACTGTATATGGCCTCTGTTCAATTTTTAATGGGCACAGGTCCATGTTCAAAAACCGCCACACATGTGGGAACTATTCAGAAGCAATTGGTGCTGTGTGGTCAGAAACGGGACAAGATTGGCAGTAAGGGTGCCAGAGGCCAGGAAGCAGGTGCACCGTGAGACCCACACAAAAGTCCTAAACCCGCATGTGTTCGTCAGCTCCAACTCCAGGGACCTTATCATTATTACTTTTCATGAGCATTAAAGAGGGGGAAAAATAATATCTTCTAGCTCTCTTGTTAAAAAAAAAAATCAACGCATATTACATAACAGCATCAACGATTTTACCATTCTATTATTAAACATTGTATTATTTCCTTAATTCTTGTGCCAGAATCAGCCCGGACACCCACGACAGAGTGATATAGAAGTTCTCTTTCCATGCTCCATTCAAAGAGTTTGGGTTCAAGGTCTTCCCCCCACCTTTATTTAAAACAAAAGAGGGGCATTTATTTTCAAAGTATAAAAATAGGTAAAGTAATAGTCTTAGCTTCTCTCTCATCATGACACAACTGGAAGACAAGCTGTAATTATTTGCCTTTCGAAAGTAAAATGTGTCACACCCAGCAGATTCTTGAGACTTCTGCATCCGCTGGGAGTCTTCATCTCATGCCATTTTTCCAAAAAGGACTCGGGCAAATGCTGACAAGATTCAGCAATGAACAGGGCATTCAAACCTTTCTCGCCACACACCACGTGGCTCAAGTCTCTCACTATGCCACATGTACAGCTGTGCTGTAAAATACATAAAAGTACATTTTAAAAATCTAGAAATATCACTGATAAAGATATCTCATCAAATGTGTGATTGCCTCACTTATCCACAAAGAAAATGCAAAGGGATGAAAACCACACGAAAACTACTTTGGGTGAGCACACCCCAAAGCCAGGTGGATGCTACAGAAAAGCTTCGTCTTGCTCGCCCTGCCACTACCAAGTTCTAACTGACTCTGCACGGCAGCCAGGAGAGAAGTTCTTCAGGCAGACTACGATGCCGGAGCACTGCTCACCGCCAGGCCAAACGTGTGAGCCAGAGGCTGCTGGGCCAGCAGCGAGAGCAATCTTTGAAAGGCCATTTCCTCCTCCAGGTCTGCACTTGGGCCTACTTTCCGCTTGGAAAATTCATGTCTCAGAGAACGCCTGTAATCCATCATTCGTTAGTGTTAAAAGTTCTGTAAATCCAATTGCAAAAGTTGCACCATATCCAAAATTCATGATCAAAACACTTCACGCATTCTATGTGCATATACTATGTATACATATGTACGTAATATACACACATATTATTATATACATATATATTTCAGGGGACTTCACTGTCATCTGAAAGTAGCCATTGGACACAAATTATCTGGTTCCATTTCTCCTTTTTAAATTTGGCAAAGAACCGCTCAGAGGAAACTGCCACTTTTGAAGTATCATAGTTTTGTTATCAATAGCACTGATAAATATTCAACCTCTCACCATCACACTTTTTCTCTCAAAATACTCTCATTTTCTCAATTACTTAAATATTTCCACTTTTCCTCTTGCATTCCTAGAATTTCTTACCTCTACCACAAGTCCGTTTATCCTTGGCTAAAAGCAAAAACTCCCAAGAGAAGCCTACAGGCACCTAATGTTTAGAACAAAACAAAGGCTGCTTTCAAATACAAAAAATTAACACATACTTATTTTTTAAAAAATCTGTAAAAGTGCAAATAAGTTTGTTGTGAAACAACAAAGCGATTTGAAAACTGAAGTCTTTCTTGTAAGTTCAACCCATTTTCCTCCCACCAAGTCTACTCATTTTAATCTTATCTCAAATTAGAAAAATTACCGTTTTAAGGTACCTAGTCATATCTCTGAAAATACACCATTCAAGTGTGTTTGCACTTAATTTTGAAAAGCAAAATAAATCTAATTCAAACTTAAAAATCATGTTTTCACCAAAGTCACTGAATCATTTCCAAGACTCCAATCTTACAGTATTTAAATCGTCTGAACACATCAGCTTTGCAAAAGCAATTCTAAAGGAACACAGCTAACTGCAACACATGACAGAGTCGAAGGAAAATGTGAGGGCACTCCAGGCCAGGATGTAGGTCCTTTGAAAACTTTCTCCAGGAAAAAACAAAAAGAAAAAACGGCAGACTCCCCAAAAGGGCCAACTATGTTTCCAAGGCTGAAATGAAACACTGAGTAACCAATGCAGTGTTATCTTTCTTGACAGTCCAACACACATTTCCTTTTGATAATCAATGGAAGGAGAAGCTGGAATGTTTAGAGATCAATGAACAACTACATGAATAACTCGTTGGTCAACAACGTGCCCCAGTCCTCATATAGAGGAATGCCGCTGATCTACTGAAAACCCAGCACAAAATACTCCATCATTTAATAAATATTTGCTTAGGGATGGATCATCAAGGGCTCTGCTTTAAAAAAAATGTTTTTATCACAAGGGATATTTTTACTTCCAATTCACGCAAATACGGTGCTATACCTGGGTCATCCTCCTATCCAGAAACCAGCGCCCCAAGAACGCAAATCATTTCCAGGAACTGAAATACAAACCCACAGATAAGGTATGGTGAAGCACCCCCAAAACTCAAACAATGAAACTGCATTCACTTACTCGGTTTTCCTTCTTTGTTTGTCCTCAAAGATGTCATTGAGGTTGATTGCCACCTGCCCTAAAAATCTGTCCAGTCCCACCAGGGACCTGTGCATAACTATGAGGAAAAGGATGTACTTCTCGGGGCTCCCCTGCATGAGCAACCCGGGGAGCTCGAAGGAGGCCTCCTCCCTCCACACGGGCTCCAGGGTTTTCTCGGCTACAGACGTGGAGTACTTCTCTTTGCCCAACTGGATGATAGTGTACGTGTCATTGGTGCCACTTTTGCCTTTCGGCTTCAGATCTTTGGCTTGCAGCACCGTGACCTGCACGTGCGTTGGAAACCACTTTTGGGCTTGCTCGGACAGCATCCTGCCGGGTCCACTTTCTGGGCTCCGAGGTCAAGAGCGCGGGCAACTGCCCCTCCCGGAGGGAGAGCCTGACGCCTCAATCACCGCATCGTCAGGGCCGGCAGGGGCTGGAGGTGGGGGGCGGGGGGCGCCCCACGGCCCTAGGGCCTGACGCCCCAACGCCTCGCGGGGGCGGCCCGGGGAGGCCAGGGGCCCACCATCACCTGCCGCGCGCACCCCTCGCGCCTCCACCTGCCCGCGGCGCCGGCCCCGGGGACGGCCCTGGGCGGCCCGGCCTGCGCGCAGGTGCGGCCTGGCCACCGGGCTCGGGTGGCGGCGGACGACGGGAGCCCCCGGCCCCGCGTCGCGCCCCCGGCCTGCCGCCTCGGCCGCCTCCCGCCTGCCCCGCGCCGCCCCGCGGGCCCGGCCCGGCTCCTCCTCCTCCCGACCCCGGTAATACGAACCGCCGGCGGCTCGCGCGGCCTCGCTCCCTCTCGCAAACCTCTCCCTCCTCCTCCTCCTCCCCCTGGCCTGGGCTCCTCCTCTCGGGCGGGGGCGGGGTGGGACGGGCGGCCGCCCGGGCGCCGGCGGGCTACAGGGCGGCGGGCGCGGGGCTCGGCCAGGCCCGGCTGGCGGCTCCTAGCACCGGGCGGGCGGCCGCCGCGGCACTTCCGGGTTGGCCTGCTCCATGTTGAGCTGCGGGACGTGAAGGGGCGGAGCTGGGCGGGGCCTGGGGGTCGGGGGTCAGCTCCTCCCCGGTTGCCGTGGAGACGGGGGCGCGCAGGGCGGGCGCAGATGGAGGCGCTTGCCCCACCGGGTGGTGGGCCCTGGGGGTGTCCCGGGGTGCTGGGCGCTGCTGGCGCGTGGGCAGCCTGCGTGGACCGGCGGAGGGGCCCACGTTCCATCTTGGAGGGCAGCCGTGTGCCTGGCGCAGAGCGGGTAGTTCCAGAAATGATGGGCTGACTCAGTCCCCTAGTGGGTCAAGCCTTTATGAGTAAGAGAACAGCCAGCCTGGCGTCTGAACACGCCCGACCCGGCGAGCTAGGGGAGCAGATGAGAGATGACTGAACCTCCGTTCTCCCTCCTCCACGCACAGGCTTTGCGACCCTGGGGGGGTCATTTCACCCCTTGCCACAAACCGCAGCGCTTTCACGGACCAACTTGAGAAGCACCCCCTTCGGAGGAGTGTGAGGCCACTGCCCGCCTAGCCTTTCCAGCACAGTGGGGCAGCATTTCTGAGGGCCCTGTGCCCCTCCCAGGAGTGCGGGGCAGCCCAGAATCCTTCCTGGACGGCCTCCGTTGGCGTCTGATCTTCCCAGGAATGTCAGAGCACGTTGGACAGCCCTCCTCGTGCGTGTCACACAGTTCCTTCCTGCTGCCTGGGAGTCACTTTGAGGCAGAATTTTCCATCCTGGCGAATCAGTTTATGAAAGACCAAGTGTGGAAAAGAGAACAAAACCGTCGTACCTCGGATACAGTATCTGGATCCCAGAGTGGGCCGTGTCAGATGGGGAGAAAAATATTCTGTAGGGTTGTGAAGGCTACGTCGGAGCGTCGGTGGTGGGAATTTAACCAGGATCTCCAGGGAGAAATAGTTTGACACCTGAAACTTACCAAAAACAAAATAAGCATCAGGAAATCAAATTTAATTGCGTTCAAAATTCTTATAAACTGCCTTTTAAAGGCATCATGTCTCTGCTAAAGGTTGTAATTATGTAAACAGTGGGCAATTAATTGTGATAATGAACGTGTGTTTCTAAAGAGCTTAAATTGTTTGGTGAGCTTTATTAATGATTATAAACGTGTTTACAAGTATCGTCTCACTCATCTCTGAAACATAGCCATCTCTAGGGTGGAAATTGGCAGTACCGGTTCGCAGCAACACAGTAACAAACTCCAACACAATTCGGAGAACACTCCACAGGCAAGAGCTGAGCAGCTGCAATTAGCACTCCTCAAACCTGCCTACAGCAAAAATGACTTAGTTTCACTAACTGGCAAGATCAGAAGTTAGGACAGATATCTTCCGGAATAAGAACATATCATACTTTTGCTCCGGGGGGAGGGGAGGAAGGAAAGAAGAGAGAGCAAAAAATAAATAAACTAAATGTGTTAAATGGAATCTTGAATTGCATTATGAAAGGAGTGTGATTTTTTTTTTCAGTGTTTCTCTTTTTTTGATGAAGGGAATGCATGTCAGTTGAGTCAAATATGTGGTTGGCTTACTGTGAAAAATAGTAGCAATTACTGAAGACCTGAGATCAAAGTGATTCTGCCAAAATGTTTATCGTTTTGCAGTTTTTAAAAACTCCTTTGACTCATTTTAAGATATGCATGGACGATAGAGTGGAAAACCAAGGATTGCAAGACAAGGGGGATATACCCAAAGTGAAGACAGTCACTTTTTAAAAAAATCACGCTATGACTAATGCTATGTCCGGAAATGTCTGGGACAATTCCAAAATCAAAGGCTTGGGAAAAGAATATATTTTATAAGAGGAAAGTGCTGAAAATTCTAATTTTAAACTTGTTGCAATGCCGGCTACAATGAATAAGATTTGACCAACAAGTTGTGCTGAGTATTTACTCCCCAACAGCAGAAGTTTTCACAGATAAAAATATGACCAGGAATCGTGGAAGATTTTCCCTGTGGACATTAGAGCTGGCTGTCTGTAGGACAGCTGTGTGACAGTCGCAGTGCTCCCCGCATGTAAACGGCCACCTGGGCCAATGACGTTACCTGGTGGGTAGTCATGACTTTCCTGATGGAGACTCAGAAACTCCAGTAAGTTTTCCCAAGGTGTTATGATGGTCTTCGGGCACTCCCATCCCCCTCAAACGTGCCTTGTGACTGAAATGTATCTCCAGTTCCTACTAGAATGAATCAAGCGGAGCAGGTGGATTTGCATGCTAGCAGATGGGTGATAGCCCAGTTCCCACATGACCAGTCATAAGCTACCGCCGTATTTGGAAAATTGATCTGAATTGTAATAGCGACTAGCTAGTGTGGAAGGGGTTGCGATTTTTGTTTTGTTGTCTTCTAGGATGAAAAAACGTATGGACACAGTTTGTGATGGTGGAGGAGCCGTGTGGTATGCAGGGAGACCACCTCCCACCAGCAGCCTCGGTCTGAATTCTGGATCTGCCTGGATCTACCAGTGGATCTGAAAGGAAGCTGTGTTTCCTCCCCATACCAGACGCAGAACAAGAGAATGTAGTAGCCACTAATGCATCCTCGAGAGTTAATAACTAGTTCATTCGCAACACAGAGAAGCAAACTGCTTTATAATTATCTAATTGAATTTGGTCAGTAAACTAAGGCAGATTCCTTTTTTTAATGTAATATATTCAAAATAATCTCCTAATTGAGTAGAAAACAACAACTTCAAGATGTCCTGAAAGCTCACTCCCAAATGAAGGTAATTAATGATCACACACAGGAAATAAATAGAACTTTTATTAATAGAGTCTGCATGAGAAAATTATCATCAACCGTTCAATATACGGAAGAAATTACATGTACATGTAAATGGTTTTGAGAAGCCCTAAATTTCAGTTGTAGGAATAACCCTAACTTCTATTCATATTACTTATAGTTTTTTTTTAAACTGTTAAGACATGCTGAGAAGGATAAGAAGGAGTGGAGCAGAATATCTGATTCTGTCAGTCTTCTCTTCACAGCATCATACTATTATATTGTAGGGATTTTGTTCCTCCAACCAAATCAATGCATACTGATGCAAGAAACGCAAATGGGGTTTCTCATTGGATGAGATGAGAAAGGCCCATTGGATCCTGTTCCTTCCTAAAGCATGTCTCAGCTGTTCCTGTTTTTGAACACTCTTTGTAACAGTGTTGCACAACTGTCCGGATAGGTCTCCTATGCACATATGTGTGGACTTCTTTTTTATAACCATACCTCTTTTTTTCATTGCAATGAAAAATTTTCATTGAAGACTTATCTTTATTAAGAAAGGCCAAGTTTCATTTGAAAGGTGAAGAGGAGAGACAGAGATTTTCCACCAGCTGGGTCACCTCCCAGATGACCATAATAGCAGGAACTGAGCAGATCCAAAGCCACGAGCCATTCGTTTCCCCGGGTCTCTCATGTGCGTGCAGGGGCCATCTTCCACTGCCTTCCCAGACTATTAGCAGGAAGCTAGATTGGAAGTAGAGCACCCAGAACTCAAACTGGTGCCCACATGGAATGCCGGCACCAGTTAAAGGCTTAATTTGCTATGCCGTGGCACTGGTCCCCATTGAAGTTCTCAATACTGTGGAAGACCCATGAGTGAGCATTTCAAAACCCGAGTTCTACTCCAGTTCTCCAAATGAAGGATGTAAACACAGGTCAAGTTCTGTGGCTCAGAATCTGCTTCCAGACCCAGAAGTCTCCAAGTCCTTTTGTTGTATGTACCGAAAGGCAAAGATGATTGCTATCAGGAAGATTTTGTGGGTGCACAGGAATTCATCTTTTACTTTCAGTTGCCTCACCAGCGTGATTCTTTCTGAAGTCTTCTAGAACATTGCTGCTACACAGGATTCCAGTGAAGGTTAACAAGAACTGGAGGTTTTTAATTGTTGGTACAACAATGGTTACCAGAGTTACACAAACTTATATCCTTGTATTTTGTAAAGATCACCTTATTCATTTCATATTCACTTAAAGACAGGAGATTTAAAAAAAACAATGAGGAATTGTGTTTATAACATTTCTGGAATATGTAATATTTCAAGAGTATCTCTGCTCCTCTTTCAGAGGTCATTAGACTAGTGGAAAGCTGACAAAATGAGGTAATGTTGATATTTCCCTCCTCTGCATGAGATTTGGAACTCTCCCGCCATTCCAGGTATTTGAGCTATGTCACACACAATAAAGGACTTCTGAATAAAATAAAGGACTTCTAAATCCCACCTGTCACACTTAATTGTCACATTTTGTGTGTTTGATATAAAACTCAGTTAGGAGGAAATGGTACTTTCAGGGATGGATCCAACTCTTTTTATTTCCAGAACCAGATTTTAAACTTTATCCCCTCAGGCAGTTTTCAACTGATATCAGCAATGTTTTCACTCAACTGCATATCTGATAACACAAATATTTTCTCACTTAGTATTATGTGCTTATCTTAATCACAGTCTGGGGCAAGTCACCTTCAGA